ATATTTTATAATTAAATATGCTCATAAATAAGCCGAACCCACAGATAAGCCGATTCTCTAATTTTTTCATTAAATGCACTTTTTTCATCAGATAAGCCGCGGCGTATCTGTGGGTTTTTAGGGTAATACTTTATTGAAATAATTCAATAAATAATATTAGTGTGACATTTATGTGAACTAACCATTTGAATTATCAAAACCACACCAGCAATCATAAACATAATGTAAAAAAGTGTTAACTCTGTAAATATACCAAAATACTAATACTGGAATAATAATAATCACAAACTTCAATAATAATGTCTGCAATTTTAAATAAGTTTGAAATTTGTGCCCAAATTCCCGATCAATTCCCAAAACAAGAAATCAAATTATTTCATGTTTTTGATGATAAAAAAGGGAAAAACATATTGTTTGTGACAACTGATGATCGGGTCTATGGGTTGGGCAGTAATGGTGAGGGAGTGTTGGGTTTGGGACACAACCGACCCATACATACGTCCGAAGAAGTGCTGGAATTAAGTAATTATAATATACAACAGTTTTTCAGTGAAAATAACTTTGTATTGGCTTTGAATAGCAATCACCAATTGTTTGGTTGGGGTTTTAAAACTCCGAATGGAGACACTTATAACAAACCAAAAGAATTATTATTATGTAATTCACGTGATATTCGTACTGAGAAAGTATCATGTAATCGGAGAATAGTTACTGTTCTTACATGTAATGACCGTATATTTCAATGGAGACATAAATCAATGGAAATACAAAATGCAATTGAAATACAATTTCTTGATAAATATAAAATTGTGGATATTTTATGTTCTGATTGGATGTCATTTGGCATTACATCCAATGGAGAGGTGTTTATGTGGGAATTGTTTGCAGACAATAATACAATAATTACACCAAAATTACTAAGAAATGCTAATAATATAAGAATTGTTTGTAAGAGTATGTTGTCTGAGATATTTATGCTATCAAATGATAAACGCGTCAATATATATGATTTAAATTGTGAGAAGATGATCATGATTACCAATTTGCGTTTTACTGATCTTGTTCAATTAAGTGGTCATGATGATATTGCGGGACTTAGTGGTGGGAAAGTATATAAATATAACGAATACAATGTGTTTATTGAGACTGAATTTAACACATTTGATGAATACTTTGCGAGTGAATATCAATTGAGTCATAAAACAATTGATATCACTAAATATAATAAACTTTCAACAATACAAGATTCGTTTGAAGACCATGGTAAATACATAACACTATTACGTCTGAGTGAGTGAGAGAGAGAGAGCAACTTGCCACAGATCTTATTAATTAATTAGAAATATTAAATTAATAGATAACAAACAATATTATATTATGTGCTTACGATGTATGCATTACGTGACATTAATCATGTAATATAAATACATAATTACTTATTTGTATTAGAGAGAGAGAGAGAGAGAGAGAGAGAGAGGGAAAAGTTAGGTTGAAAAATAAGTCTAAAGTGTTGGGCCAGATTTTGTGTGTGTTTATTGTCTGCTTTTCAAATAGTAGGCAAAATTGGTTAAACACACTGTGAACACAGAATACAATTTGATTGATATTATTTAATGATAATAATAAACTGCATATTTAAAACAATTTTAGATACCAAAAGTCGGATAGGAAACATGAAAATGTATGAAACACTGGATAGATTAGGAGAAGGTGGTTTTGGTCAAGTGTTTAAAGTGAGCGATGAACGTAATAAAGAACAATATGCGATTAAAAAATGTCGTTTAGATGGTAATATTTCAAAAATTAACATTTAATTTTGATTAAGTAATCTGTACATACTAAAAAATAATTATTTAACATAAATTTAATTAATATCTAATTTAAAAGGTTGGACAGAAAAACAGAAAAAATATATTTTTAATGAAACGAAAAACTTAATAAAATTGCGCTCAAAATATGTCACTCAATATTACTATTCATGGATTGAAAACAACTGTTTATACATTCTTATGGATTGTTTGGCCGGAAATTTAACTCAAGTTTTAAATATTAAGAAACAAATATTTGGAAAAATTATGACAGAATTTAAATATTATATTTCGTATCATATATTCCAACAATTGGTTGAAAGTGTGGAGTATTTGCATAAAAACAATATCATTCACAGAGACCTCAAACCCGATAATGTGTTGATTGACAACAAAAACATAAAAAGATATATAAAGTTATGTGACTTCGGTTTGTCTAAATCTGTCAAAGTATTGAGTGATATATACAAACAAAGTACTGCTAAACACAGCAAAGATTTTAAAGACAATGTTAACTATATGGCACCGGAAGTAGAGACCACTGAATACAACCATTTAATAGATGTCTATAGTCTGGCACTCATTGGAGCGAAAATATTTGGTTTCGATTCCGACGATATCAGAGACGGAATGTATGTTATTATTAGTGAGCAAATAAAACATAATATAATATTAATATTTATACATGTAACACTTATTTATTAATATAATTATTTTTAGATTGGATTCCGATTTCTATTGCTATTTACAAATTAATGATAATGTAATTCTAAAGAATAAAATGACTCAAATTTACGGAATATTGCAATCAATGAGTGTTAGTATATATACAGAGAGTTATGGAAAGACTGATTGGAGACTAAGACCCGAATGTGAAGTCATTTTAAAACAATTAAAACATTTATCGATTGAACCGATTGTCGAGAAAAATCATAACTTATTATCACTTGATTTAACCGAAAACATATACAGTGCAACCTTTCTTGAGGGAACTTCTCTTAGGGGAACACTTCCTTTACAGGAACGGATTTTAAATATATTTTGGATTTTCTATACTTATAACAAAACCTACCTTAGAGGAACCCCTTCTATAGGGAACACTCTTGCCGTGCAACTGGCCGTTTCTTATAGTAACGTTGCACTGTATAAGATACTGTTTTATGAGTTATTTTTAAATTTCTATAAATTATCAATTGATTGTCAATCAAGTGATGAAAATAAAGGTAAATACACTAAACCAATATATTATCAAAATAATACTATGGTCTATAATAATCACAAATTAATTAGTACAAAAAACATGTTTTTAAGAGATCGATGGTAAAATTTTAATGTTTATTTGACCACTAGACCACCCGTCGGTCATAATTTTGACCATAATTAAGAGCTCTCTCTCTCTCTCTCTCTCTCTCTCTCTCTCCCTCCCCTCTGTAAATGTAATTCACTTTTAAGTGAATTTTATGTTAAATTTTTATTGCAATTTGTTTTGTCATTTAAACGACGATAACTTTGTTTTGTTTTTTAAATTATTACAATGTTTTTACTGCAAACAAATGAGTGTCGGCTTTTGTCAGACATTTATAAACAGTTTTGTAAAAAAATTTTAATTAAAAATATTTGTTATTAATTGCATAACACATCGAATCATCGAATAAGTATTGCGATTATAATTGAAAACAGTTGTATTATAAATATTTAAATCACCGCTTCATTCATTCTCTCTCTCTCTCTCTCTCTCTCTCTCTCTCTAAAAAACAAACAAAAAAGTAATGTGGATGTTGGGTTTCGAACCTGGGCAATCCAGGTCAAATTCAGGTATTCTATCCATTACACCATAGTAGTCTATTGAAATTTGACACTTTATAAAAGTTTTTGTGTGCATCTATTGGCAATGTATGTATAACTTTAATGCATAGTGATATACAGAGAAGCTAAAATACAGGATTTTTTCTTATTCCCTTAATAATATGATTTGTATGAAATTATAAAGAAACATATAGTGGTTGAGTACATACAATGTCTATAGCATGATTCTTGTTGAAATGGTTTCTGCTCTCATTTTTAACCTAGCTGATTTATATATATTTTTGAATTTATTTTAGATTTATATGTTATGTGCAATCAGTACCAGGCTTCCAACCTACAAGAATTCACAATACGTTACGATATATTAGGGTACAGTTCAGTTTACATTACAATACATAGCAATGCTCTACATGGGGCCAAACTACTGTACTGACCCGATATATGTGAACAACCACACCCAAACTTTGAGTGTTAACATATACGTTACCATGTATAGGGTGGAGATTAATCGACTTTACTAAAGTAAACTCGAATATCTCGAAATATATTTGGTCTAGAAATTCAAATGATATATCAAAATACTCATCAACT